ATTAATACTTTACTTTTATTTTAGTACTACTTACAAACATTGAAAATTATTTTAGGAAGGGATTCATACAGGAGGATGTCAACAAAATCACCAACCAAAGGAGTAGTGAAGCCTATGGTGAGCGGGCATACTATTACAAAACCCACCATTAATTTGAGTAGAGTAAATATGCAGCATATTAATAATAACGCATCAAACTTAAGTATAATACCAGAAGTAGTAACACCTCCAAGAAATCAAGAAACAAATAGTCCAAGGTCTCCTGTACCTGTTTCCGTGAGACAGAGGAGATATGTATGTATTTTTTAACAATTTTAGATATAAATTACAGAATTTCAGTAACTAAATTATTAGTATTGACCTATATACAGGGCACTGCCCGTACATGTAGAATGCCAGAAAGACTGACTGTTAGTTCACCAAGAAGTAGTGGTATGTAGCATTGATATGACCTTCATTCTTAATAAATTATAAGTATAACCATAAACCTTATTCGTATATAGAAGAAAATGAACGAAGATTAAGCAAAAGAAGTAGCAGACATTCTGGTAGAATATCAGGAAAGCGTTCAAGACCAAAGTCAGGTAGACTTTCTGGAAATAACAGTACTCGGTGTAGTATCGGAAATTTCGAGCATATAGGAAGCCCTACGGTAAAACTGAATGATGTATCAAAATTCCTTCAGAATTCTCAAAGCATTAACATTCGATTGGTTCGTGTTTTTTTATTTATTTCTTTTTCATGACATAAAAATATGTGATGATTCAGTGAGAGTTTCTTTTTTCTTGCAGTTAACAGAAAATGGAAATGATGACGAAATCGTCAATGAAGAAAATAGCGATGATGCAAATCAAAACGATTCCGAAACAGCTGTTACAGTACCAGAAACACCTCCATCTGACTCTCCAAGAGATGACAACGATATGATCGTCGAAAATAATGATGGAGAAATTGATAGCAAATTAGACGATAAAGTTGAACAGAGAACAGAAAATCCCAAGACAGTGCCAAATCCTGCATCAAATTGGGAAGATCCTCTTGAAGGACCAAGTTGGTTATTCAACAATTTCCAAACTGTGCCTTGTTATACAAATAACGAGAAGAAGACTGATAATGTAAATGTTTCTATCAATAATAGTATGTGTAGAACTTTGAAACTAGCAGCAGATACAAGCGATGAATCAGACGATGAAAAATATATGGAGGAATCACAGTTTATTTTAAATGAACAAGAAAGTCAAATAAATAATTGCAAATCTGTTGCACAAGGAAATTCTGAAAATGAATCCATTAATAGTCCAAAAAATATAAATGATGATCGTATTTGTGCTACATTGATTAGGACAACTCCTAAGGATACTAATCAAGATGAATGTAAAACTAAGAATGAACCGAGTGGAATCTTGGAAAATTTCATTACACATAGGCGAGGTTACGTTGAGGAAGAAGAAGATGACGATGAGTTCACCTTGATGTATGTGCGACATCCACGTGATTTGAATTTTGATATAAACGATTTAAAATTGCCCGTATTAGAAGAATCAGCATTAAAACCAGCAGCTCCAGTCGAACCAGAACCAGAAATAACGGCCACGCTTCGAAAAATATCTCAAATTTGTCCGATACCATCTGTTTCGAACAACAGTCTAAATGAAACTGTGTTTAATCATTCCACGGTAAAGCTACCTTTACTAATGAATAACGATTACGATAATGACAACCTAACACCGTTTAAAGAAAAGTCAGTTTCTATGCAACGAAGGAAAAGAGTGAAGCATGTGACATTGAGAGATTCGGCTGATTTTATTGATGGTACGCCAAGGTTAAAGACACTAAGTAAGGAGAAAAATAAGAAGAATCAGTCGACGAATAAAGATCCGAGTGCCGCTAAAGTTGTGTTGCAAAAATTGGACGAATCCGACGTTAAGTCACGAACACCTTCTCCCGAAGAGATCCAAGATTTCAATCAAACAATGTGCGTATATTAATTTTGTCGTACAACGCTATTTGCGCATATATGACCGCGAGCTATTTATTTTATCCATAGGAACACTATACCTAAACGGTCCGGAAACTCGAGCGATTCAGAGAGCAGTAATAGCAGTGTAAGTAGTAACAACACTGTAGGTCGACCTTTACGTAGGCGAGCCCCGACAAATTTCCAAGAGCCCAGTTTGAGAAGGTAAATAATATATTTTTAAAAATCTCTCCATTCGATCGCACGGTATTATACTAAATCGTAATTGTTGCTGATTTCAGGAAGTTACGAAGGAACAATTAATCGAAATACACGACAATCGCCGATACACGAGAATCGAGTGATTCGAACACAGTAATGTGTTTTTTGAGACACATTGTCGTTTTCATCCGAAGAATGTAAATAATGCGCATAAAATGATAAATTCATTGAATAGGCTGTTCGAATCGAATATAAATTACGATTATTTTATTCAACAGACCGTCACACGTGATCCGTTTACTCTAGAATCTTTCTGCTTCCATTCTATTGCGCACACTTTCGTTAAACCAGTCAGTGTTGATTATTTACAGAAGATCGGCTTGTCCTACCGTAGTCGTAGCTTCGATAATTTGGCTTCCTCTCGTAGTGTCCTTTGTATGTTGTACTTTTTGTATCCTTATCTAATGTTGCGACGAATAAATACAGAACATTTAATACGTTTTCATATCTTTCATCCTTTTTTCTTCTTAACAGGGTACTAGGAGTTTTCAAAACACATCAGTTGTATTATTCAATGAGTCGACGATCATTAAAAATGATACGTCAATTAAAGGATTCATACTGAAAATAGAAATAAATTAATTGTCGGTGCATTCGAAATAAAAGCAAACCGATTATTTCACAATCATGAATGAATTAAGCTATTATCTAGTAACTGCATCGCGTAGGTGTGTGCACGTGAAACTGACTGTTACTACACAGTCTACACTAGATCGCATCGTTTCCCTTTTCATCCGGATGCATCGGTCGAATTGTTTGTTTCGAGCGAAACCTTTTTTTTCGGTTGGAAAATCAATCCGAGCGGGGAACACGGTAAACACGGTCATAATTCATTGACACCGATGCGTTGGAATGCATTCGGTTCCGTAAATGGTAAACATATTACCTGATTACTTAGCGGGAGACCGGACGCTCGCGGAAGTAAACATTTTACCTGAACCGATCCGGCCGGGTGAGTGACAGTGAGAAACGAGTCATTTCGAGGATTCTCGCTGTTTTCGTAAATAACTGACCTGGATGGGTCTGCGATAGATGAGCTGTCCCGACAGACTGAAAACAACGTTCCGACGAGGGGGGAAATATTTCAAAACAATCCCGTTCAATGTAACGCGGCACGTGTATTTTACTTAACGTTCTTTACACGAGGAACGAATTATGTAACGCATATTGGTATCATGTTTATTCATCGCATCGTTTGCCTGTAAAATAAGAATATTCTATATTTCCACGCGCAGAAACATCTCCGAGTAGAACGATTTTCCATTTGTCATTAACACGTTGACTGCCATGGGGGTCACCGGTGACCCCCGAACAAATCGAATTACTGTAATTCACTCGATTGAACGACGATTAGAAATATTTTTGTATTATAAATAATGCTACCTAATGTGGTGATGTTCAGCTAGATTTTTTCCATTTTGTGTATTTTGGTCTATGAAATCGTGCGGCGTTCGACGTGTTAAATTCGGATCAGCAAATAGTAAAATTCAATTATGCGAGTTTGATCGAACAGTGCCGCGTGATTGTAATTTCTGGACCGAATCTCGTTGCTTCGAGTTTATGTAATTGATTAGTAATGTAATGGTAACACGCGACTATAATTTCAGCTGTTCCGGGGAATCAGAAATTAAACATTGGATCTCCACCTCCGACTGTTTTGCATCGTTGGTACAAGCAGGCGGAATAAACAGCAGTAATTATAGTCACGATAGCAGCTTTTTTGCTTTAGGTGTCCGATGAAAGTGGATTAACATTGATGATAATTTCAACGTGAACGTCACCGATTATTATGGAAGGGAATTACGTGAAATCAGTTTATAAACATCGCGGCTCTTAAAACGGGTAATGCGAAACGAGTTGGACTCGCATTGGCCGCCGCGAATACATGAAAACATCGTCGCGCGTGGGAGTGGAATAGTAAACTTGAAAAAGAAACAACGGGCACGTTGAGCTCGAAAGTTTCTACCTGAAACGTTTTTCTGTAATTTTTCCTAGCTATTTATTTCGCACCGTTATCATTACGTACAGTGGTTGCAATTAATATTTATCGATTACGAAAAGAAAATCCAAAAATGTATAACACGTTACCCAATAGAACTAACTAGGAAAACGAATTATGTTCTAACGCGAGAGAACGTAATGTTCAAAGTGAACTTATTTGGTATTTGTGTGCGATTATTCAGAGTCAATTCTGCCAGTATTCCAAGAGAACCAAGAATATTTTCAGTATCGAGCAACTATATTTAAATACTATTTTAAAAACTCGTCGCATCGATTGGAATATTCTGTTTTCAATGTTACGCGTGCGTGTTTGAGACGAGGTAATATATTGTCCAATATTAATCGAAATAACATCTTACTCGGTCTCGTAACTCTCCCTTGGCACATCGGAACGAGTAAAAGTCGTTTGCAGCGTTAACGCGCGTACCGGCGTTCAAACTCTCCCTCCACGGGAATCGAGGCGCGGCAGGGCGCATGCGTCGCTCATTTCCTAGTAGTGCCGATTGTCCGGCCAATGGGAGTGCGGTCGTGACGCCATCCGGGACCAATGGTACGGCGGCCCGGTGACGACCGTGCTATTTTTAGGAGTCGTGAGTCACGGGATATAAGGCAGTACGTTTAGTTGGGTGTTCACAAGTTGTCGAGATCTCGTACGGTGCGGCGGAGTGACATTCGCGTTAGACGTACGAACACGACCGTTCTAAAGAGGTGCACACGCGCAGAACCTCACGTTCGTCGGATTGCGTCTCGTGAGTCATTGTTGTGTTGACAGTTGAACCAGCTCGGTCCCTCGTGTGACATCCTCGGCTGCCGAAGTTACTTCAAGTTCAACGGTATTACAACTCCTCTTTCTCTCGCGACGGAGGCCCGCGAGTCGAGAGCGCATAGAGTAGGCGTAACCGAAAAAAAAGAAAAAACACCGTTCTGCGTCTCAAGTTTTGGACCGATTACACCGCGCGGTCCGTAATCCATACGCGACACACTCGTGTCACGCTCGGTGGTGGTACGTGGAATACCCAGTTTTCCAGTTGATCGTGTGCCCGGGGTCTCGCGTCCGGTGACACGGTGGGGCGAAAAGGACGATTGGGCGTAGTGCGATAAAAAAGACTCTCTTCCGTCGGTGAATTTCCGTGCTGGTTATGTAACCACGGTGAAAAAGCAAAGAGACAGGGAGTGCTGGGCGAAAAAGCGTGAAAAGCCGAGAGACAGGGAACGATCGATTATCAGTCGGCGATTACCATCGATCATCGAGCACACACCAGCTAGCCAGGAGGAGGTTTTTACGTGCGACGGGAATACGACGTGTGGACACAACAGGCGGCGGCGGCGACGGCGGCGGCGGAGTGTGTGTTTTGTTATTCCAGCCGCGAGAGACCTAGTGCGCTGACCAAGTTTTGATCGTCACGCATACCTCGTCCCCACGGCATCGATGGTGCGGAGTTTTACGATGGAGCAGACGTTCTACGAGGACGCGAACGTTTACGGGGCGATGCATCGCGAGAACAACGTGGGCCAGATGAAGCGTAATCTGACGCTGGACCTGAACGTGTGTCAGAGGCAGGGTCCCCAGGCGAAGAGGCCGCGGCTGGGTCCCCTGCCGCCGACGTTGAACAACGTGACGCCCATACTGAGCTCGCCGGACCTGAACATGCTGAAGCTCGGCTCGCCGGAGCTCGAGAAGTTCATAATCGCCCAACAGGACAGCCTGGTGACGAATTTACCGACGCCCACGCAGATCTTGTTCCCGAAGATAGTGACCGAGGCGCAGGAACAGTACGCGCGCGGTTTCGTCGACGCTTTGAACGAGCTTCATCATTCGGACAGCTCGCAGGAGCCGGGCAGCATTCACGGGGCGACGTACACGACGCTGGAACCGCCTAGCAGCGTGCAGAGCACCGAATCCTCGGTGAGCCAGGGTCTGGTGCAGATCAAGGACGAGCCGCAGACGGTGCCGAGCGTGTCGAGTTCGCCGCCCATGTCCCCCATCGACATGGAGAACCAGGAGAGGATCAAGCTCGAAAGGAAGCGGCAGAGGAACCGCGTGGCCGCCTCGAAATGCCGCAGGCGCAAACTGGAGCGGATCTCCAGGCTGGAGGACAAGGTCAAACTGCTCAAGGGCGAGAACACCGAGCTCAGCGCTGTGGTGCACAAGCTGAAGGAGCACGTGTGCCGGCTGAAGGAGCAGGTGATGGACCACGTGCATTCCGGCTGCCAGATCATGGCCGTGTCCGGCCAGTTCTGAGTCACGGACCCGGGGGACGAGACTCTCTCCGACGTGTATACATTTCGTTTGGTGGGGCTGGCTGTGTGTGCGTGCGCGACTACACCGTCGAACCTGCGGTTACCTTAACTGGGAGGTCGATCGTCGTCTCGTCCAATGGACACGTTTAGGCGATGCCTACGGCTCGCGAACAGTGCGACGTGGCTCCGACTTGAAGACCACCGCTGCTAGTGTCCAGTCGATCCAGGACCACGGATCAATTTTCTTTTCACCGTTTCACTTTGCGTTTCTGCTGTTCCACCTGCCTCACTTCCCCCTCCCCTGGACGAAGAGAGGCGACATGGCGACGCGAGAGGACCGGCAGTGCCTTGGTGTTCTCTGAAAGGAACACGAGACCACGACGAAGATTTTTTCTTTGTTTTTCTAAATATCGCTCGTGTGTCTCTGCGCGTGGCTGGCTTGGCCGCGGTCCCGCGCGCACGTGAAAAGTAATCGCGTAGACGCACGGGGGGCGGCGATGCGATAAGTGGAAGAACTGTGCACGAGCGGGAGGAGAAGGAGGAGGAGGAGGAGGAGGAGAACAGAGGAGACTGGAGCGGAGGAGAAGGAGGAGGAGTGGGTGACGGGAAGGAGCAACGGAGAGAGGAGAAGAGACCAGATGGAGATGGAGATGGAGATGGAGAAAAGGGAGAGTGGGTGGGACCTGGCAGTGGAGAGAGAGGGACCTTGCGGTACGCGGCGGCCATTTTGGAGAACCGCGAGTATTGGCGGGAGATTTGAATGTTCGCGCGCCCAGATATATTTGTCTCGCCAGGGGGAACTCGAATTGTTTCGCGACCAATTGTTGCCTTTCTTCGGAGCCCCTTTGTTCTAAAGTTCCCCTCTCGGCGCTATCCTCTCGCGGTCTTTGCGAATCGATCGATCGGCCGCGGAGGAGTTGTACGCGCGAGATCGCGTCGCGCGTTTCGCTAGCGAGTAAGATGAACTGCTCGTTGTTGTGGAATCTTCCGATTCGATTTCTTTTGTCGTATTCTCTAATGTTTTTCTTCTCTCTTTTTCTCCCCCCTGTGTCCTTAGGAGTTTTTACAATTTCGAGCGATCGGGAACGATCCTCGGTTGGTCCGGGATTTCGTGGCAATCCGCGATCGGAAACGATTGGAATATTTTTTGTACTCTCGCGACGCGCGAGCGTTTTTCCCCCCTCCCCTGTTTGTATAACGGTTGGTTCTATCCGAACAGAAAAATTAAAAAAGTAAAAAAGATCGGCTAACCGTCGAAGACTCGTAACGATGTAATGTATATAACGCTGTATACGTATTCACGCGCAGAGTAACAATTCAATAGGCTAAGAGAACCGTTTCGGGAGGAACGGGTATACGCGTCGAACGCGCTCGTGTGACAAACACGAGCAAACGAAAGTGCTTTCTGTAATCGGAATCTTTGGTGCGAACGCGCGCGCGCGGATCAAGGACGAGTAGAACGAGCTAATTGTTAGTTAACACGGTGCTGTAAAAGATTTGCCACTCGAGCGACACACGTCCGTACAAGTTGTCGTTGAATCGAGCCGCAAGATAGATGGTTTTTGCTCGGACGATTTCCCGATTTCGATCGTGTAACACCGCTTTTTAACCTGTTAACCGGGGAGGACGAGCTGATTCGTCGTTTCCACTTGACTAAACGTTTCTCTCTCTTTTGTACGCTTCACGTAGGCATACGTGTTGCACTCCGATGGAGCCGATCGTATCCGAATACTCGGATCGATGCGAATCGCGTGGTATTCGCGCTCGACGAGCGCAGCGAGACGCGCCGCTTTTTATTCGTTTTTCAATCTTGTGACCGAGTTGCCCGTTTAACAGGTTCAGAGGGGACTACCATTGTTTTTAAGGCTATACAAATAGATTCTGTACAAATAGATCAGTGGTTCCCAAACCGTGCGCCGAAGGAGATTTAAAACTGAAAGATGCAAAGGGGAATTTACAAAGTTCTTATAGATTGTAATTACCAAAATAATATAATGAATGTTTGATTGCGTAGTTTTATATACGTAATCGAACTATACGTTTCATGATGTGCTAATAGGGTTTTTTGCGTTTCATAATTTGCTATAGAGAAAACGAACCTCAGGTTTCAGTCGACACAGAACCAAAGTATCTTGTCTGAAATGCACGGCGAGCAAGGAAGTTTGGGAATCACTGGATTAGACGTTAGGAGCGCAGTTGCCGGCGTTGAAATCACCGTCGGAGACCATCTTGTCGCGCGTTCGACCGCGACACACCGGGCCTCGCCCCGCGAGACTCTGTTTTTGTACAAATTTTCTAGGGAAAGCATGTTATACCGTTTAATTCGCGCGCGGCGAGCACGGTGGTTCGCGTTCGAACTGTGACCCTCGGCACGGGGAAGCCTCGAGTATCTTTCCTTTCTTAGGTTTTAAGCTGGAGACTGGTGTGTAACGAGCAGCGATGGGCATTCCAATCTCGGCTGCGAAACGGTTCGAAGTATTTCAATACTGTGCAAATTCGAAGCATTCGAAGTTCAATTTGACTCCAGAAACCTCTCGAAAATCTTGAAGGTTTGAAATTCTGAAAAGATTCGAAGCCTTGGTTAGTCTCAAAGTCTTCAAGACTCATCGAATCATTGAGATTCCATGAACCTCTTGAAAGTCTCAGAAAGATTCGAAATTTTGAAGAGATTCAACGCCTTGATTGGTCTCGGCGTCTCCAAGACCTATCGAATCTTTCTGAGACTTCCAACAGATTTATCGAATCAAATCATGCTCGGAGTGACTCGAATCTTTCGTCACAGATTCAAAGCGAGTCGAAATGGGGGCCCATCGCTAGCAACGAGTCGCGTCCCTCTCGGTTCTTCGACATCCGTTCGTGTCTTGGAACAATTTTCGTTTCGTCATATGTGCATCTAGTCTTGTCCAGTATGCCCTCGTAACTTATGCGCATCGCGTACCACGCGCTGATCTGCATAAAATATACACATAAATACCCAAACACACACACACACACATGTTACACACACGCGCGGTTCTGTTGACACGTGCGCGACACCGAGACCACCGAACGATCGGGATGGATCGACTCGTGATTTTATCTTTCTACGAAATTTCATTTAATCGATTGAGCCTCTCTTTTGCCGAAGCGATTCGCTCCACGAAATAACAAGTAGAATTTAATTACGCATTAAAGTACGCAAGGAACCGTTTAACACATTGACTCCGGTAATTTGTTTTTGCTCGTCTGCCGGTGAAATTTAAAGAATTCTTGGAATTATTGAAATTATCAAGTAATTTCATTTTCAACAATATGGTTTAACGAACTATTTATTTGATGGCACACGATGTTTGATACAAGCGTGTGCCAGTGGTGGTACAGTAACCATTTAGAGCGTAAATCAAACGAAATTTTTAAATTGAACGAATGTTAAACTTCGAACATTCAATGAATGGAGTTGGTCGCTTTAGCTTGAATTCACGAATGTAGTCTGAAACGAGTCGCTTCGATCAGTCGGGTGGTACCGGTGTTACACAGAAGATTGTCTTTTCGCGTGAGGAAACGAAAGCGGAGGAGACCGACACGATTTCGATCCGTTTTCCTGTCCGGCGAGCGCGGGACAATGGAACCGCGCGCAGCGAGCGTTACCGTTGTGCCATCACGCGAGGAATCGCTGTAAGAAAAAGAGTTTTCCCTCGGACAGTGCCGTAACATTTCGGCCCGTGCAATGGCGCCGATGATTACGAGAATCTTCACGGCGATCAGCAATAAAGTTCACACGCGACGCGCGGAGTACATTTGAACGAGCAATAATTAAGCAGTCGCGTTACGTTCGTTGTTTTCCTGTGTCGATCGAATATTACATAAAATTTACCTCGATAACACGTCGAATGCCGAATGACTTCACGCGGTGGAAAACGCGGAACGAAGAAATTACAAGTATCAAGTATTCGATTCGGATCGCCATTATTGTTTATCCAGCTGGATGTAATCGCGTTAGGTAACTATTTATAGTATAGAAATGTTTTCACCCTTTGCACTCTGGAGACTCGATCGCCATTTGGTTTGACGCAGCAAATTTGTAGTTTGATATTCAATATCAAAGTTCACATACTGTAATTATTCATGAAATGTCGAAACAGAACAGCTCTATCTCTTGATCTGTGTATTGTTCCTATTTACGTTGTAACAAAGTATAATTATTACTCCATCACAAAATGACGAATCTAGCGAAAAATCGAGTGCAAAAGGTCAATCGAGTGAGTTACAGTAATTCTATTTGGGGTCAACGGTGACCCACGGCATTCGACGTGATTAACACTAAACGTACCGCGACCGGTCAGACGCCTGTTTTTAAAATTTCTTCGAAAAGCCTGTGTTTCTCGTTCGTTTAACTTTATATATATATTGTCTCATTAATCGGTTTTCATTTGTCGTGTTCCCTCCAAGAGTGTCGTTCAAATTGTTTATCGTTTAAGGTAGAACAGGTACGTGCAAAGTGCCGGTGCGTTTAGTGTTAAGAGCCAACAGTTTCGACGAAGTTCTCAGAGCCGCGTTCCCATTGCCAGGAACGCTCCGATTCGTTGTTTTGCGCGGCGCAAAGACACTGCATTTCTCGGCGAGCGTTACGTAACCCTCCCGAAGGCACGAGGATTCCGAATTCAGCGCGCGGCGCCGATAACGTGCCGCGAATAGTCTCCGGAGCGATAGTCCGAGCGTGTTCCGCGCATTTTCAAAGTCCCTCGGCCGGAGGAATCATTCTCAAGGATTCGCTCGCTCCGCGAACGGATACGCCGGGAACGACGCTTCGCCTGTGCACCGTCCCTCGCGGTCCCTTGTTCTGTTGCTGTTAGGTTTAATCGTTAGTACAACGGGCGAGCGCCGACGGCTCGCCGCATCGGGAGATTGCAATTTAAACACGGAGGATAAGAAATTTCTATTTTTCGGGTACACGTCGCGAACCCGACTTTCGCCGCGACCGCACGCGAGTCGAATTTCGAGCCGGCGATCACAGTTTTCCACCTGTTCGCGCGAATCGGCGCGTTCGACGATTGTAACCGTGTAATTTAGTTCCCTTGACGCTGCCACCGCTGAACGGCGAAACTGATTTCTGATTTTTCTATGCAGAGACTTCGATTGATTTCCAATTCGAGCCAATTTCTTCAGTAATTTCAAGTTGCCTTTTCGATAATTACAAAAGAAATCAAGTTTAGCGGTTCCAGCGTTGGGATAAACGCGCTCTTCGTTTTCTCCTGCTTCGCTTTGTTTCCCGGGGAACCTGTTAACCGGGGAGGAATCGTCCGTTGCTCGCGGCCGTCCTTTGCCTTCGAATCGCTTCTCGTTTTCCTATTCGTTTGACCGAACAACCGCAGCCGAATCCTCGCAGGGTTCGTCTGATTCCTCTCGAAAAAGTGCCTACACGTTGGTGTACAATTCCCGGCCGAAATGGTCACCCGGTTAACAAGTCGATTCACCGTGGCGATCCACGGTCGCTTTGCGAAAGGACAGCGTTTCCTCGACGGAATTGCGTCTTCGGCGATTTTCAGCCACTTCGGGCTGGCCGAGGAGTCGTGTTCCTCTTACTCTTACGGTATCGGGTCGTCCCATAAGTGCGCGCCGCGGTGTGTTAACACTTCTCGCGTCGCGTTCTGTAATCGCGAAGCGGTACGAGTTTGAACCGCTTCGGGCCGGGAAGTTGAAACTTGTACATTTAATCAAATACTACGTTACACGCTGGACGAATGAACGGCGCGGACCTATGGGACGATCTAATACACTGTGCGAATGAATATTGTAAATAAATCAACTGATGTTCGAAAGTTCTCGAACAGCGACAATGTACGGTTTAACCAGTTAACTGTTCAACGAACACAGTTAATACAATATATATAAATTTCTCAACGATTTACTCAAGTGAACATGTAATTCTTCGTTCCGCGTACTATAATAGGTTGACCCTGTTATACCGAGATTGTTAAAGTTGCACGGTCGACTGGTTGACGAGTAACTCTGTCTGGTTTGATGGAGTGAAATTGATTTTAAAAATCCCCGACGGGAACAAGACTTTTCGGCCAGCCTAGTAGTACGATCACGTGTTTTTCCGTGATGGAGCCAGGAGAAAGTTGACGGAGAAAAGAAATTAGGAGGATCGGGGGACCGCCGGTCCTGCGGATCAGCCATCACGTACGGCGTGCCTTTTTTACCAAGTAACGAGATAGAAATCGCATCGTCGGCGAATCCGAGGATCTCTCGTTCGCGTCAGCGCACTCTCTATACTAGTTCTTGTTTATATTTCTCTCTCTCTCTCTCTTTCTCTCTTTCTCTCTTTCTCTCTTTCTCTCTTTCTTTCTCTCTCTCTCCCTCCTCTTTTTTTGTTCGTTTTTAACGTTCTTTCTCGCTCGTATGATCCGAGAAACGAGAAATCGGCGCGCGAGGATCGGACGGAAACGCCGAGCGTTGATTTAAAAGAAAGAAAAAGCCACGAATCTTTTTTAGCGGATAAGACGCGAGAATTATAGAGTGAGAAAGCGGCGGCGGAGGGCGAGATTTGAATGCCGGGCTAAGAAACGAGCGAGAAGAATTAACGAAAAGAAAGAAAAAGCGGCGGCACAAAAAACGTATGAAAGTATAATGAAAAACCACAATGTGATTTAGTCAGTAAGCGAAAACCCCATTAGAGTATGTATATGTGTATATACATATATATAGTTATATATGATTAATGAATATATGTATATATATATACGTATATGTATATACAGATATGTATATTAGTGGTACGGTAATGACGACACGCGGATAAGCATATATAGAGTTATATATAACCCTATACATGAGAGTAAATATTACTATTATAATGTAATATTATATATATATATATATATATGTATGTATGTATGTATGTATGTATATATGTATGTATATATATATGTACATATATATATGAATATATATATTTACACGTATATATGTTATATATATACATATATATTGCCTACCGACTAGAGCGGAGAAATCTTTTTTTACGAATAATTTTATTTTTGAATGAAATACAATGAAAAATAAAATTTCATTATATTGAACGTAATGCAGTGAAACATTCTTTTCGAAACTGACCCTTCTCCCACCGCGCCCCACCGTCCTTTCCGAAGAGAAACAGATTTTACTTAACCCTCTGTGGGCACATGTAACTTTGAAGTCACGTGTCAGTATATTGGCATCTTGTTGATTTATTTCATTTTGCACTCGAAGTGGGGAATAAAATGAAGTAATCGGTTAACTTCAACTTTTGTACCCTCAGGCGTGACAGTTCAATGTCATTGCAACCTGAAAGTTTCAAAATATAAATGTTTAATGAAATATTTAATGAAATTATTGAAACTATCGAATACATTTCTAATTCGTATTCATATGTGGATATTTATTAATTTTGTACTGAATAGATTTTGTTATAATCGTGAACAAAAATTCGGCCCACAGAGGGTTCAATTTTCTTCTCTTCTCTTTTGTTTCCAATTGCGCTGTTTAATATGTTCATTATCGAAAGAAGCGTGGAAACGACGAGAATCGTTCTCGACGAAAGAAACCAGAATTCCAGCCCGGACCCGCGTCCCATCGTG